CAACTAGGGAACATCATCAATGCTAGAAGGGAGGAGGAGGAGGAGGAGGAGGAGGAGGAGGAGGAGACGACAACTATGGTGTCCTTTGTGCTCTCTGAGCTTGGTGGTTTTCTTGCAGACGTTTCATGACCCAACTAGGTAACCTCATCAGTGTTAGAAAGGAGTGGGGTTTGTGGAGGGGAGGAAAAGGACAAAGAGAAGAAAAGAAGGAAGTCGGAGAATATAGACAAACATGATGATGATGAGGAGGAGGAGGAGGAGGAGGAGGAGGAGGGTATAGACAAGCAGGGGAAGAAGAAAGAGAAGGATAAAGAGAAGGTCTGTGGGGGGTTCTTGGTACTCTCTGAACTTAATTTGTTTCCTGCAGAATTTCATGACCAGACTACAAAACTCCATCAGTGCTAGAAGTGGGAGGGAATTGCTCTTTTTTCATAAATCCTATTCAGCACTGATGATGCTCTTTCGTTGGGTCACGAAAAGTCTGCAAGAAAACATCCAAGCTCAGAGAGCACCAAGGATCCCACAGTCACGGATCACACCTAACGTGTCCGAAGATGGCCCAGCTGACTGTACTCACTTCTTTTTCTCATCCTCATTGGGCTTCTGGAGTCCTCCATACAGCTCGTCGATGTAGATCTGATACAGGCACTGCTCTTCCGAGACTGTAAAGCAGGGACGGAGACAAGGCAGGTGAGATCCCCACCAAGCCAGCCCCTTTGCAGCCAAACGAGGTGGGCTTCAGGTACAAGGCAGATCTGTTTCTCCTCTGCTATCCCACCCATCCAGGCACAACTGGAGAAAGCCAACTCAGTAGAAGACAGCTGTCGTGCCTGAATCTGAGGAGGAAATGGAGCTGGAACAGGACCCTATGGAGGCCGAGGGAGAGATGTCTGTGGCTTCAGAGGACTGTGGGGAAGAGCAGGCCGAGGCAGGCCAGAGCCCTTCAGGATTGGGACAGGGGAGACAGAATCCAGGTGATGAGCAAGGCCCACCCCCTCCTGATCCTAGAGCACGGAGAGTGGAGAGAAGGAGGGAACAACGCAGGCAGGCTCAACTACTCAGGAGGAGAGCGTCCTGCCCCTCTCCACAAGGCACACCTGGAGACTGAGATTTAAGGAGACGCTGTGGGGAGGGGCATTTGTCCGCTGATTCCTTGGAATGTCGTGTATTGTTGCTCTTGTTCTGCGCCTTGTTTGGAAACCTTGACTATCGGACTGTATTTCGGATTCTCTTTTGGAAACTGCTCCGTCAAGCTCGGATTCAAATGGACTCGTTAAGTTTATGTTTTCTTCCTTGTTGTCTCTACGGCACTGTTTCTCAACCTTGACAATTTTAAGGCACGTGGACTTCAACTCCCAGAATTCCACAGCCAGCAACGCTGGGAGTTGAAGTCCACATGCCTTAAAATTGTCAAGGTTGAGAAACACTGCTCTACGGCCTTGCGTACTTTCTCATGCTAATCAGCCTCTATTTGAACCTACTTTCAACCAGAGTCGGCTGAAGGGATGTGTGTGTGTGATCTTTTGTTGGAGGCATGCCAGCAAACGTGGGAGCATTTGGGGAAAATTGGGAGCAATAAAAGAACTGTTTGAATGGCCAGCTGACTGCACTGCCTCTGTGCTGTGCCCTGGGTCATCACAACAGCTATGATGAATGACCCTGAAGCACCAATTCAAAGACTTGTGGGTGACGGTGTTAGTCCTATTCCCAAATAGGATGATTCATCTTTACAGACAGCTGCTCTGCAGTGAGTGTGATTAGGCTGCTGCCCTGCTCACCCAAAACAGAGGGCAGCCCCTCGTCAACCCTCTGACCGTAGAAGAAAACCAAAATTAAGCAAGGTCAAACCCACTTGTGTCTATGGAGATCCTCGACCATCCAGGTCATCGTCGTCCCAAAGGTGCTTTTTTCCAAAAGGCAACTGGACTTTCTTGGGCTTGTTGTTTTTTTTCTTGAAAACATTTTGCTTCTCATCCAAGAAGCTCCTTCAGTTCAGAACAGCAGAAGCGTCTTGGATAAAAAGCGAAACGTTTCAGTTGCCTTTTGGAAAAGCACCTTGTGGGTCAGACCTGGTTAGTAACTAGATGAGAGGCTGCAACAAAATGCCAGGGTTCTAGACAGACTGAGGAATTTAAAAAAATGTCCTAGGACAGGGGTGGGAACCTTGGCTCTTTTATGACCTGTGGACTTCAACTCCCAGAATTCCTGAGCCAGCCATGCTGGGGGGAAAGGGAGAGGTTTCCATGCTGAGCCATGCTGGCTCAGGAATTCTGGGAGTTGAAGTCCACCAGTCATAAAAGAGCCAAGGTTGCCCACCCCTGGCCTAGTAAAACGTGATGGCAGATTATTTCTGTGCTATAGTCAAGAAAATGAGTTTTATCAAGTCTATAAAGTCATCAGGATTTGAAGTTCACAAAGAAGAGGGAGTCAAGCTCTTCTCCAAAGCGCCTGAAGGCAGGACAAGAAGCAACGGATGGAAACTAATCAAGGAGAGAAGCAACCTAGAACTAAGGAGAAACTTCCTGACAGTGAGAACAATTAACCAGTGGAACTACCTGCCTCTAGAAGCGGTGAATGCTCCAACACTGGAAGTTTTTAAGAAGAGACTGGACAGCCATTTGTCTGAAATGGTGTAGGGTTTCCTGCCTGAGCAGGGGGTTGGACTAGATGGCCTCCAAGGTCCCTTCCAACATTATTATTATTATTGTTGTTGTTGTTGCAAGTTGAGATCTACCTGCAATCCCTTCCCTCATTCTGGCTGACTCCAGAATGAACCCAATGAATTAAGTCATTGAAAATCTAGGTGTTGGCTTGATGAGCAAGTCTGAGAACAAGGAGAAGCGCACGCACACATACACACACACACACACACACACACACACCGTTCCTTAAACCTCTGTGCTCTACAGCAAGGCAAGAAAAATGGAGGAGAACTTACTGCCAGCGAAATCGTTCTGCACAAGTCCTCTGTATCTTTCATAGTTGCATTTCCTTTCGTCAGACTCCTGCTCGGGGGAGCTAGGGGCGTAAGAGGAAGGGGCCAGAATTAAAATTCTAAGCAGGCAAAATCGGGCGAGAAACTCTTACACAAAGACTTGCAGAACAGATCCACCTTGGGCTGCTCCCCCAGCCCCCCAGTTCTGAAAAATCACGGCATGAAGAAACTCCCCGTGTTAACCTAAGCCTTTTCTCCCCCCCCCCCAAAAAAAACCCAGGCCAAGTTATTTTATCCCAGCTGGGTTCCCACATCACATTAGCCTCTATGGGATGTGCCAGCCAAAACGACTGCAGTTTTGTGCTTGGGCCTATCGCCTGAAGGCACATAACAATTTATTTGCCCAGCCACAATTTCAAGGAATCCATCAGCCAGGTTATAGAGGGACTTATTCCTTCCCAATGGAAGTATCTCCGAAGCCAAACCTCCAATGGAAGCAAGGAGATGTACATTCCAGCATCAGAGATGGGGGGGGGGGGGAACAAATGCCTTACATTGGATTCAGCAGGGGCGGAGTATACATGGGGATGTAATCCAGGTGGGCCCGTACATCGAACCGGTCAATCATGTTGTTGGTATCCCCCTGCCAAGGCATCCTGTATGGACACAACACCAAAGGGTAGGGTCCCAATTAAAAAAACACAACGCTCAGTGCTTACTGTACACAGGACAGCCCCCCCACCCTTTCAGCTGGTAAATCTCCACTTTCTCTCTGTTCCTGCAGGGCAACGTTTCCCAACTGTGCCAATGTCCAGGGGGTGTGGACTTCAACCCCCAGAATTCTCCTCAATGTTGGGGAATTCTGGGGGTTGAAGTCCGCAGACAGGTAGTCCTCTACTTAGGACCACAACTGAGCCCCAAATTTCTGTTGCTAAACGAGACAACTATTCAGTGAGATTTGCCCCATGTTACGATTTTTCTTGCCGCAGTTGTGAAGTTAGTAACCCATAAGAAAGCGAATTGCAAGTCTTAACTCTGCTGTACGAGCAGGGAAGTGTCTCAATGAGCTTCTTGAAAATATTATCTGTCTGTTGTGGATGGTGTATCCACAGTAGAGTTTGTGTTACCTTCCATCAAGGTTACCCTCCTTATTCGCCTCAAGAGTGTTTCTAACCTAGGCAGTGTTGTGATTCCTCGCCAGCCAGCTGAGTCTGGGGAATCAGAGGAAGAGGAGGAGGAGGGGCCTGGAG